TGTGACACTGCTGCCCGAAAGTTTACAGAAATTATTGATTTAAGTAAAGTTTGATTTTGATTTTTATTATTGTCTAAATCAATGAGTTTGATGGTGCTTAATAGCGAGTAGGTCCTCCTCTGTTCCGTATGCACTCTCTGAATCTATCTGGGACACTTTCAATCAAGTGGGTGATGTTTTCCTCGGGTATTCACTCTCAACACAATTTTAGGGCGTTTATGAGCTCTTGTCGATTAGTCACATTACTGAAGTTCGATTTGAGGCTTATTTCTAATTGGTCCCATAAATGTTCAATGGGTTAAGATCGGGACTCATGGCCGGCCACGGTAAAACCGTAATATTGGCTTCAGAGAGAGCTCTCTGGGTTGTTCGCGCTGTATGTGGGCACGCATTGTCTTGCATAAAGACGAAGTTTTCACCCACTCTTTGTGAAAATGGGATGACATGGGGCCGAATTATTCGATCGACATACCGGGAGTCAGTTACGGAGCCTTCTTCCAGAATTACCAGCTCAGTTTTACAGAGCAAGCTTATTCCAGCCCACACCATAACATTTGGACCTCCAAAACGACCCGTTTCATGTATGCAAGGTTCTGAAAAACGTTTTCCTTCTCTTCTCCACACGCGCACTCGACGATCATCGCTGAAAAACTTCACTTTACTTTCGTCCGTAAAGTGTACATTTCTCCAGTTGTCCATTGTCCACTCCGCATGCTCGCGAGCAAACCTCAAACGTGCTGCACGATGCGCTCTTGTCAATTTTAGACGAATAACACGAGATCTGGAACGTTGTCCGTCTTCATGGAGCCGATTTCGAATGGTTAGATCACTAATTCGTGTGCCAGTCGATTGCCGCCGTCGATTTTGTAAGACGCGGACGAGAATTGTACGCTCTCGACGTGCAGTCAATCTGATATACCGGTCTTCCTGGACGGTTGTAGCTCGCGCTCTTCCTGATCCAGATCTCCTCGCGACACTACCTGTCTTTAGAAAGTGTTCCCACGCGTTTCGAATAACTCGTCGTGACACACCATGACGTCTTGCCACTGATCTCTGAGATTCTCCCTCCTGAAGCATAAACACTGCTCTTGTTGCTGTTTCCACATCCATATGACGCCGAGAACCAGGCATAATGATCGCGAGTAACACCGAAATCAAGTCATAATGAAAAAAGTAGACGTGCGACTGTAACATTCAGTATGTGACTGAGGGTACAAGTGGCTGAGAATTTGAGTAATAAACGTTTTTTGGAGTACTTCACTTTTTTTGTCTACCCACCATTTAATTCCTGACGAAATGTTTAACTTCACTATTTACTACCCAACAATTTTTTTAGACGAAATTCGAGATTAACTCGGAGTGGACCCTATTTTGTTTTGAGTAGTTTAAATTGCACAAAGACAAACATCCAGACCCGGAACAATTACTTGTAGGCCATACTAATACTTGTTCCGTGCGGGATTCGAACCCGCGGCCCCCAGCGCAATAACTCATTGCTAAGCCACTGCGCCACGGAGCCGTCAATACCGTAGACTCTGCCTACCCCTCTGAGTGTCAGGCGTGAGTGTTTATGTATTTTTATGTTTTAAAACGGCAATGTACCCATGTAACTTTATAATGATTGTAACTTACAATATAGACAATTGTACACGTTCGCCATTACTCAAACTTTCTACTGTGTAAAAGTATGACCATTAAATCATTATGAACCTAAATGTATTTATATCATGAAACAGACGGTCTCAAGCCTTAAAAGGTCATTACAAAAAGATAAAACGAGCAGGTGAGAATTAATTGGAAATTAAATGTACCCCTGTTGACCTTCCATTTTCAATCATAAAGGAGTTAAAGTCATTTTGATACGGGGAACATAAATGAAGTAGAAATAGAAATGTTAATATGAAGTACTCTTGGAGTTGGCGTGTTTCGTGCGAGGGCTATTAATATTCTGAGATGCTATCTAGCGCTAATAAGCCCGCGGTAATTATATAGGGACTCTCATTGACTCCACTGTTTTATGTACGCCATGAATATATTAATATTAAACGCGGCTCAGGGATTGTAAACAGTAAATATAATGCCCTGAGAAAGAGAGAGATGGTTACGACCGCCACGAAACACGAACGACAACAAAAAATGGTTCCAAGTGCGTTCCGTTATCACTTGAAGCCAGGTGTTGTAAATTAAATTATTATAGCTCCTTTAAAATGGTCGTTGGCATAATTGCAGAGATTACGACGGCATTTTCGGAGGTCATGCGTCTTTTTAAAAAAGTAGCAGTCGAATTGTCGTTTTATATGTACATGTTAAAAGAGGAAAACCATGTCGATCGACACATTTCGGGGTCTTAATATAGTTTTATATAGCACAGTTTAATGCATTAATTTAACAAACATTTTTTAGATATTACTAAGGTCAGCAAAGTTTCCACAATTGAGTTGGTACATGTATAAAATGCGTTATTGGATGTGAGTTAATACAATGTAAGGTTATTTGTTTTGATATCTTTAAAAATACTATAAATTTTCTATTTAAAAGATATTAATTTTCCATGAAATATGTCAGCGTTTCTAAAAGTATTGATCGTATTAAAAATCCAAACCTATAATTAGTTCTTGCAAACGGTATTTTGAAAGTGTTTTTGGAAAGAATATTAAATTACTATCTGTTAAACCAAATGTTCAATGTTTGTAATAGAAATTATGATGAAATCTACAAATTTATTAAAAAATTTGAATAAAAAACACCTCATCGCGCAAAGTGCGACGTTTTTGTAACAAAATGAATTTTCGAAGCGGTTTCTCAAATTTATATTCTATACGCCTGATAAATTTATTCTGTGTACGTTTTGATGCAAGATATATTGTTTATACTGCGGATTCTAGACAGAGCAATGATCTAAATGTGATGTAACAAATGGATTAATTATACAGTAGAAATAAGGTATTAGGATTTTTAAAATCACGACCTTATATAAATACAAAAAAAATTAAGATTGTGAAGTGATTCTGAAATCGAATTTAGACAACAATTAGTATAAGTAAATTAGAATTAAAAATGTGTATTGAGTCAATCAAGTCAATGGATTTTTGTTTTGATTCTTATTAATAATAAAATTACTTTTAATTACAGTGTTATGTTTGGTTATTTACTTTGTGGATAACTATTATTGGCTTCTTAGTGTTTAATAATTTAAGTAAATAGGTTTAAGTATTAATAAGCTGTTGTTATGCTAAATAAAAAAAATGAGAAAAAAACTTTGTTTAATCCTCTCGGTGCAGTTTTTTTTATTATCTCTATTTAAACACGTGGTAACATTAAACATTTTGTACAACTGACTTCAGTATAAATAAAATGTCATCAACGTAGTCGAAGTCAATTAAATACGTATTATTAAGGATAACTCAAAAACTACAGGTCAGATCTTGATCAAATTTATATGGGACGACGTGAAAAGCACCAGCTTTCAAATAAAAATAAAGAATCATCAAAGTCGGTTTATCTAGAAAAAGTTCTAAGGTAACACACATAAAAAATACGGGCGTATTGAGAACCTCGTCCTTTTTTTTTGAAGTCCGTTGAAAAATCAATTGCTGCCCGCTAACCGTTAGTCTCGCTAAAACTCGAAAATGGCTTGTCGGATTATGATGAATTTTTTTGTGTGTGTGAGTGGGTCCTTGGATAGTTTAGATTTACAATTGGACCCGGTAGGTGGTGCTGTTGTCGAGATCCAGAAACCACCCATGCAAAGCCGCGGCGGATAGCTAGTTAGTAATGAAAAAATCTCTAAAACTAAAATGTGCTGTAAAAGTATTATTAAGGTGACGCATCAGCCATATAAAGGGGCTTAAAGTTACTCAGCGAGTTATGGAGAATGCCCGAGGTACCTCTTCATAATGAAATCCGAAATAAGAATATACATTATACATAGCATTCTTTTACGTGGTAAAGCCATGTTAGTGCTGCAGCTATATTAGTAGTATAGTTGTAGCATGAACGGGTTAGCTCGATCGGGGAAGGACCACGCTCTCACAGAATACCAGCTTTAATTAGCAGCTGAACGACGCTGTTTCGTATGGTGAGTGTAGAGAACGGGAGACCCTTTTTAATAGAAATAAGGCAATCTATCTTAGTCCTCATGGATGACAACGCATCTGCATTTTGATTCTTTATTGAGGATAGATGTAGATGTGTATAGGTCCACGCATCCGCTTACCATCAGGTTGACTGTGTGCTCATTTGTCATCCTTATCCTAAAAAAAAATTGCAAACGTAGAAAACCATAGTGCGACGGATCGGCTAAAGCCGGTAGGTCACATATCTCGAGCTCAAGAAAACGAAAACTGACAGAAAGAAATACAAGAGCAGCATAGGACGGATAAGTCCCATATTAGATGGAGTATAGACCAATATGGCAAATAGAAAATCAATTGATGCAGGTTACAGGTCTGTGTTAAACAGTATACTTGAGATAAATTGTGATTATAATATACAATAGTTAATAATATAAATAATAAAACAAGGTTGCGTTTATACTGTCGCCAGTATATACAAAGACGAACTCACTACACTAACCCATGCCCAAAGGATTATGTCGAAAGTTGGCTAGGAATTGAAATAAACTATGTCCATAACAGGAACAACAACACGTTTTTTATGAAGATTTGTCTTTTGCACAAATGTTGGCTCCTATTCTCTTATTCAAACTCACGACTCATATAGGATGGCTACGCGGTCGATTTAATACAATACACAATACTACTATCTAATACTTTTTACATGAGCAAGTCTTGTAATATTTATGTAATGTTTCGTTCGTTTCTTGGAAACGACTCTTAGCGATTTGTAAATAAATATTCTATTTTAGTTTATCTAGGTTTTCATCACTGAGATAATTTTTTACGACGAGCAAAGTTCGGTGATAAGATAACTTTCATGTAAATATGCTGTCTAGATTATGTCTAAATAAACGTTAGTTCGTGCGCTAGTAAACAACTCACCACCTTCCGTTTCGTGCCACACGATGCCCTCCAACGTGACCGATGTACCAGGCTCGCAGGGACCAAGGCAATCAGGCTCCGTGATGGTCCCAACTGATGTGCCAACGCACACTTCAGCCGTTTCCTGCAATTTTAAAACAATTTTTAAAGTTAAACTTGAATGAAAAATATGATATTCTGACAATGTTTAAAAGGTTCATATTTTAGAGTTTCGTAGACCCTGACGACTACTTAGTGATCTAACTACTGTGATCTTCTTATTTCCATCCAAACTGAAGCCAATATTAACTGATGCGTTGGCTCTTCCATTCAGGTTTAATTGCGATTGTCCTCGTGTCTGATGACAACATTGATTTTATGGCATGATGCTCACGAGTAGGGTTACCAGATGAAAAAATCAAAATTCCGGAGAAAAGGCCTGATTTCCATTGAAAAAACCTGAGATTTTTTACAGTTTGAGAAAAAAATCTTACTTAAAAAGGTATCTTCACATATTAAGTATGATAAAACTGTTTAAGTACCTACTTGAATAAATAAGTTTTGATTTTAATTGTGCAATTATTACCAAAGGAATATTATTTTTAGTTTTTTTTTTTTAACTTTTTATTAAAGAGATCTTTAAAATGTAAGCTGTATTGTATTGAAAATCCTAAAAATCCTGAGATTTCATGAGATTTGCAAAATCCAGCCGCAATCCTGAGAAGAGTCTAAAAATCCCGAAATCTCAGGACAAACCTTAGATATAGTAACCCTACTCACGAGTGAATACTGTAATTGTTTTTGTAAAAGCTTGCGACACCAAAGTAACCATCCATAGCCCCATAGCAAGGCATCAGTACTTGTACCATTATCTATTCTGTGGTATCATTCACTTTTTAACCGAATTGAAAAAAAAGGAGGAAGTTCTCAATTCGACTGTATTTTTTTGTGTGTTACGTCGAGAACTTTTTTCTAGGTGAATCGATTTTGATGATTCTTTTTTATTTGAAAGCCGGTAGTTTTTGATTTATGCTTAATAATGTGTATTTAATTAACTTCGATTACACTGATGATGTTCTCATTTTATTTATATTGAAGTCGGTTGTACGGTTTTTTTTTAATTTTACCACTTTTTACGTGGTAGAGCCATGTTGCAGCTATATTATGGTTGTAGCACGAATGGGTCGGCTCGACCGGATAAGGACCACGCTCTCACAGAATACCAGCGTCAAATAGCAGCTTAACGTTGCTGTGTTTCGTATGATGAGTGTAGAGAACCGGAAACCCTTTTTACTGTAAACGAGGCATTTCATCTTAGTCCTCACGGATGACAACGCATCTGCATTTTCATTCGCAAACGAGGATAAATGTAGATGTCTATGGGCCACAGTAACCACTTACCATCAGGTGGACTGTGTGCTCGTTTGTCACCCTTGTACTATAAAAAAAAACTTGTTTGATTAAAAAATATAATAATAATGCCCTTAAGGTCGCGTCTTACAAATTTAAATTTAAATGCAAAAACAACAATATTACGTTAGATTTTGTCACTATAAAATGAATATGAAAATTATCCACTAAATGACAACAATGGTTTTTTTTACATGTTTTCTTTAAAGGGATAAAAAGATAAAAAAGTAAAGAGAGATGGCTACTTTTTATTAGCCTATTATAATGTATTTATGGTTGTAAATAACAGGCTAAATGACATTTTACTTGTGCTTTTATTTACGGATCAGCGTAATGAAATGCGTATTAAATTACCACAAAACGTGCAAGATAACATTTTTTGTAATACAAAAGATATTATCGTCTAATACAAAAAATGTTAACTTTTATAATATCTAAAAGCCGGTTCATTTTATAAAAAAAAATCGAGTTATGACTTTGTTTAAAAAACATTTAATAAAATAAGACATTGAGGCTGTTGATGATGATGATTTCATGTTCTTGGCCTTTTTTAGTTACTCTTGGACAAAAGAAAAGTAACGAATTTTTTTTTAATATAGAATTAGGGTGACACGCGAGACGCAAGCACACAGCCCACGTGATGGTAAGTGGATGCTGTGGCCCATAGACATCTACATCTATCCTCGATTAAGAATCAAAATGCAGATGCGTTGTCACCCCTGAGGACTAAGACGGAATGCCTCGTATCCAGTAAAAAGGGTCTCTCGTTCTCTAAACTCACCATACGAAAGACAGCAGCATTGAGCTGCTATTTTACGCTGGTATTCCGTGAGAGCATGGTCGTTCCACGGTCGAGTTGAGCCGACCCATTCGTGCTACAACATCCCTAAGACAGCTGCAGCATGGTTCTACTATGTATAATTATATCTGTTTCATGTCATCTTATTCCAGTGCTTGCTTGTTTCCTACTCGTAAAGCAGATTAGGTAAACGTGTAATTGTCACCTTCTATGTGAGATATCCATGGACGTATAAATAAGGACGTATAAATAACTTATTTATACGTCCATAGAGATCTCATATTGATTCTAGATCTATATAGTTTATAGTGATTCAAGTCTAGACTAAATAAAATAAGTTTTTACTGTATAATTTTATTTTATTTTTATATATTTTGTCCACGGCATCGTTGTGTGACTGGAGGGCTTTAACCACTGTGAAATGGTACTAGTAACCTAGCTCAGCATATTGCTGTGGTGGACAGTGGACACCACAGCGTTGTTAAACCATCCAGGGACCTACTCAAACATACCTAAACAAAACATTTCACCAAAATCGGTCGTGCCATTTTCTAGTTTTAGCGAGACTAACAACGAACCAGCAATTAATTGATTTTTATTTATATAATAATAATATACCTAGATTTTTAATCTTAATTTTCAAGTTTATAAAAAAACAATATGGAAAAATTATACGCAATAAAATAATAAATATTATATTTCTTAAATAGTCGACACTTATTAAATCCATCGATATCCATCCAATCCAACATCCCAACACCAATTTCTTTTTCTGGTGGGAAACCTGGAGACCGTTAGATTGTCTCTGTAACTACTGGGATTGCATGAATGCAAAGTACGTTTACGGCATGGAACAATCAAATGAAGCCATTTATATTCAGAGGGCGATATACAAACGGTACGGCGATGTTGTTCCATCCCGCTCACGCGCACAGTTAATGGTGTTGCAAATTATGGACAAGCAATTCTCTGAATCCGTGGATATGTCGACTTTCAAAGCATTACTATCGAAAAAATAACAAAATTTTATGTGAATTGCCTCAAGAACCTACTTAACAGAGTAAATATCTAAGAAGGAGTAAGTAATACTAAATGGTGCTAACATGTCTAAATATTAATATATGAAAAGCCGTGGTAGCTCAGATGGTTAGAGCTCGCTGTAAATTTCACGGTACGCGAGCAACCCGAGTTCGATCCCGCTGATTTACCACGTGTTCGGCGGTGAAGGAAAACATCGTGAGGAAACCTGCATGTCTGAGAAATAAGAAAAAAGAATTCGAAGACATGTGAAGTTCGCCCACACGCATTGGGGCAGCGTGGCGGACAACACTTTTTTGCCCTAAAACCCACTCAGAAATGAGGGTAGGCCAGTGCCCAGCAGTGGGACGAATATAGGCTGTAACTTTATATGAAAAAATATTATTCTATAATAAATATAAAACTCAATCGCCGTGCGGTGTCTCGCAAAAAATCGAAAAAAAAAATAGTCTGACCGAATTTCATTTTCGTTTCTCGTTTTCGGCCAAAATAATCATTTTCGGCTGTTTTCGTTTTCGGACACAATTTATATTTATATTATTTTAATATTATAAAATATTTCAGAGCGCGCTGTAAATGAATTTATGAATTCTCTAATTATAATGCAGTACAACAGTTCAAACGCAGACAGACAGTGTTTCATTAGGAGAAAATGTAAAAAAGTTCCTGTTCCCCGCATAATATCAAACTGTTTTTAAACATAAAGGACTAGCGACAGAACGAAGCGACAAAACGAGTTCACAGTCCACTTGATGGTAATTGGCCTCTGCAGTCCAAATTAACCATTTTCGGGCGGGCTTAATTTTGGAACATTTACTAAACTTTAAAACATAACGTTATGGAAAATGGATATAACTAACCTAAAATAAACAGAACCAGTGAGGAAATTTAGTGGAGTTAAGCATCGATCACTAATTTTTTTTATTAGTGATCGATGGAGTTTAGTTAGGAAACAGTTTAGTGCTAAATTATATACTTATTACAATTACTATGTGTTTAGTTTCGTGATAACAGAGATGAAAAATTAACAACACCTTTTAATGTTATAGTGTGACTATTACGGCAAATTTTCTATATATAGAGTTCTTATAAACGGATAATACAAACAATATTACAGTTTCAGCGACAATAGCCTAATAAGAAAATAAATGTCAAGGATCCGAATCCGCCATTCGACTACTGTTGTGTGTGAATCACTCCTAGAACAAGCATATAATAAACCTTAGTTTCAGTTGGTAATGTGAACAATAGTAGTGTTAATATAACTGCTAGTATTCTATTTTTAAACAAATAGAGACAATATTCAGTTGAAATCGAGTCAAATCGTTGACGTCAGCCCCACGCGCAGATTATAAATAACATTAAACGCCACATTGTTACACAGATGACAAATGTGCCATCTTACGCCCACTCCTCGTCGCTACGCTAGAGACAATACGTACATTTTATACTTGCAGTTGGGCCGCAAAGTTATTAAGATTTTTACACGCTACGTCGCCATTAGATCGTTTATGGGAAGCTAGCAGCGCAGCGCGCACGTTACAAGTAGAGCTCTGCGGGCGGTTGGGAGGCATTGTGCGAAGCGAGGGGTCGCCTTATGAGCGCCGAGTCTATACACGCTGCAAACACGAGGGGACGGGGACGGGTACAGCTGCCGCTTTATATCGATAATCCAACTTTTATGTGACACTTGAAAAAAGTCCGATTTAAATAAAATTTACGCTAGAGATAGATACGGTGGCGGGAAAATAAAGGGTAAATCAATTCACAACTGGGAGAAACAAAGGAATGCAGCGACTCAATACAACTTTATTGCTATGCTGTGTATGATATGATTCTTACGGGTGTATTCATAATCATTTTTAAACAGTTCATTAGTTAAAAAGTGTTTTGTCTCA